TTTTCGGGAAATTGGTAGGTGGTGTTGGGGAAGGGGTGGGAGAGCGAATCGCGACCCTCTTTTAGGTGGGGGATGGTCGTACCAAGACCCTTCCTCGAGGGGGAGGGGTCGTACCGACACCACCATTTTACACATCACGATGCTGCACCCTGGACACACGTCTGACTGTCTCCAAGGCCTATGTCCGTGATGGTGGCGCCTCTTGATACCATAGCACCTACCCCTATGGCGCTGGGAAAGGATAAAGGACAGAGGTTTCTGAGTTGATCAATCCTTTCCTTTGATATGCGCCACGCATTCTGCCTCTATTTAAAATTGTAGTGGCAAGTCGAATGCGATCCAAAATAGCCTGAGCAATGACTTTGAAGATCGCTGGTGTGGAGCTGAGCATTCTTAGCCTCCCAGACCAGGCTAGTTCCAATTAAGCGACCCTGAAGTAATGGATGGCAGGGGCAACTCGCCTGGAAGGTAATGCGAATTACCAGGGAACCGTGCGCGTAGAAGGTATCGCCACACCATCTGCACCACATACCAGAGCTACAATGCCACCACAGTAGGAACCTTCCCTTCACAGTAGGAATAAGCCTCATTACCGTATGACTGAATATAATGAATCCCAGCACCCAACGGCCCGAAAAAAACGAAATTGTTATCCTGTTGTCGTGATCTACTAGTGAATCGCGTAAAACGAGTGAATCATCAAAATCTGTTTGTTGGCATTCCCTCGCGATACGTCCGCTATCGCTGACATTTCTTTCGTGAATGTTAGTGTTTCGATTCAAAAAGTACTTTGCTTTCTCGAATTCTTTCTTGTGAATGAGATACTGGGAAATCTCAAAGGTCATCTGCTTCCCATAGTCATTCGGGTTTGGAATAAAAAAGGAATGGGAATGAGATTTTTCCTGCTGATAAACTCTGAGTCTCTCTTCGGTACAAAACCACGGGTGTTACCGATGTTTTTCTTATAATTCTGCGCTCGACCTCAGTCAGTAGTATAGAAGTTTTTCGGGTCACGGAATGCTTTTTCAAAACCGTTTGTACGGGTTCATGCAAGGGCCATAAAAGTGCCGTTCGTTTTCTTGGGAGCTGCTAAGAATGCCATGGACAGGGGAAAAGTTCTGCGAGACAGGTGGAGAAAAGTCCGCGAGTTGTCGAAGAATTCGGTGATAGAAACTGTTTTTAGCATCTGTTTGGCCTAGAGCAGTACTTTGCACTTCAGCTGGTTGCTTCTGGTCTCAAGTGAACTAGGGAATCTCACTCCAGTGAGCCCTACAAACCCCAGTGAAGCTGCGAAATGCTACAAGAGAGCCCCATAGTTACAAGAAATTGCAGGTTTCTAGAGGATGGCCTGTACAAGCTTCGCTAAGTAGCATTGTTTGCACCCACCAAACTAGACCGCCCGTTTTTGTTTTTTTAACAAAAAAAAGTACGGAAGCTTTTAAGCACATTTTTGTTACGACAGCGGCTTTGTACATCCATGTACTAACACAGAAAAATTTGAAGTCTGACACTGCGAGGAACTCAGCCATGGAACTATTGCTCACTTTTCCGCATTACGCATTACTAGAGAAGCCTGAAAAAAACGCACCCTACTCCTAGCCTATGCATGCCCTTTTTCTGATGGGTGCGCATCCTATATAATTCCACTCGGATTTGTAGTGGCATTTTGAAGGGGGCCTATACGATGACCTCAGTTCCAGACGAATCTAGTTGCCCGACCTAATGAGTTCAATCACGGTAGGGGTGGCCCATGAGCGGTGGAGCCGGCTGTTGAGGATCTGGCTGCCACAACCTGATAATGTGGGCCATTTGCCACTACATCCTACTGTAACGACCGGACGCTCAAAAAAGGCCTACATCATCCTCAACGTCTCCACCCCCTTGTCGTAGCGGTCTACTTTTTCGGTATGATAACACCAGTTCTCCAGCTTGAATGCCCGATCATGAATGCTGTTCAAGGTCCACAAACAGTCTACGTCAGCTTCTGTTTCGCGGTTCAGATGCGCGTTCTCCTTTGACTGCTTCATGTAACACTACCACAATATCACCAAATGGATGGTTTTCGGGGATGGGCAATAAAAAAAGAGTGATCCGAAGAACACTAGTGAACCAGTATCAGTGGTGAATCGTCCTTACTGAAACAACACCACTGCAACCAGATTCGCAGGGACATGCTCAACAAAAACATATTCGCCGCGACCCGCCTCTCCGCGATATTCCACCGGTAGTCAGCGATGCTCTCGGTGCCCACGGCTACTCTGCTCTTAATGATCTTTTTTTTAACCTACTTCTATTCAAAAAACCCTTCCGCAGAGACAGTCCCTTCACTTAGGCAAGCATTTATCTTCAATCTGTGTTGGTGGCATTCTCTGCGTAAGCGCTGGTCTTCCCCCCCTCTCCATTTTCGAGAATGGAGTGTCTCGTTCGCCTAGTTCATTCCTATCCGCGGTTTCTAAAACATTTTCACTCTCCCCCGGCTCTTATGGGACGAACACGAACTTTCAAGTTCTTGTAGCACAGCACCGCCACCTATAGCAAGACGGTCCTGGCGCGCTATGGATGGTGTTTTTTCTCATTTCGTCGCTTACCTCGATTGCTACCGTTTCCGATTTTTTTTCGCATCTCCGCGTTCTTCCGACTCATGAATGTTTGGAATGAATTACCTTTCCTAGAGGTGGCAAGGCGCCTACCAGTGGGCGGACTTTGCTTACTTCGATGAGTGTTACCGTAATGTCTTGTCCAAATCTCTACCGCCAACCATCACCTTGACCCTGCCTCTCAAAGTGGTTCTTCAGGTCATGCCGAATTTCCGGACAGAGAGAAGACAGACAGACAGACAGACAGACAGACAGACAGACAGACAGACAGACAGACAGACAGACAGACAGACAGACAGACAGACAGACAGACAGACAGACAGACAGACAGACAGACAGACAGACAGACAGACAGACAGACAGACAGACAGACAGACAGACAGACGCCGCCGTTACATAAAGACTGAGACAATCTATTAGATTCTGGGATTTTGGGAGATGGTGAGTTCTCGCATTTCGAATAGTCCTCTGGCGCCTCTATGTCTTACAGATAAACGTAGTGTACAGATAAAACTTCTGGTTACCATATCCTCCAAGGTAGATATAAGCGCATCCGTGTATATAAAGACTGAGAACGCC